TAGGTTGCTGCTAGTTATTCTTAATGATCAGAATCCTACTAAAAAAACATTTGGGGGTTTATTTATTAGTTCTATTTAATTCTTTCATAATTAATTTCATCTTTATTAATCCCTTCTTGTTTTACTTAATTGTATTTTTTTGTAACTTTCTTTATTTGTGTTTGTTCTTGTTTACTAGAATAAATACTTAGGGCTATGAACCTTTAGTACTCCTTTAGTTATTTCTCAAGAATTCCTACTAAAAAAACATTTGGGGGTTTATTTATTAGTTCTATTTAATTCTTTCATAATTAATTTCATCTTTATTAATCCCTTCTTGTTTTACTTAATTGTATTTTTTTGTAACTTTCTTTATTTGTGTTTGTTCTTGTTTACTAGAATAAATACTTAGGGCTATGAACCTTTAGTACTCCTTTAGTTATTTCTCAAGAATTCTGATATGCAGCTTATTTTTGTGGTTGTTATTCTCAAGATATTTTGGAGTTTTGTTTTTCTCTTTGACTAAGAATTGTTCCAGAGATTTAAAAAATTATTGAGATGGTAAAGTTTTATGTTTCAGTTTTCTCTTTCTGTTATTAACTTTTAGTTATTTGGAATTACAAATAAAGTTACCTATACTGTTTATAATTTTTGAAAATTATTTGTAGCTTAATGCAGAGAGAGAGAGAGAGAGAAAGAGAGATGTGAGAGTGACATCTCCATTGATTGCCTCCCACATGAGTCTCAACAGAGGCGGGGGATTGAACCTGCAACCCATGTACCTGCCCTTGACTAGGAATCAAACCAAAGATGCCTCTGTGCATGGGCTGGTGTTCCAATACTGGCCAGGACGATGTGTGTGTATTTTTAAATGTTTTTTTACTTTGGGTGCCAGTGTAGAATTAATTTTAAGATGAGTTTCATGCTGGAAAGTATATGAAAACCTTTAGCTTCAATGGCCTCAAAGGTCACCTGGAATGTGTAAAATGTGAATATGAATTTGTGTTGGCCCTAGAGTAACCCCTGAGTAGAGCTGAAATCAAAGGGTATCTTAAGTATTCTTTCCTCTCACTTTTAATTCCTTTTCTTTCTTTTCTCTATACGATATGCTAATTAAAAAATCTAGATTACACAGACCCAGGCCTGGTGTTATACCAGTCTGTTATCAACAAATGAGAGCACATTAAATAGTTTTTAATTGGTCTTAGGGAAAGCAAAGGTGAAATGAAAATTTAATTCTTCTGGACCTTTTTTCAAAATGCCTTTTCCAGCTCCACTATAAGGACTGAATTTTAATTAGCTTGATTCGCACTGTTTGGCCATGCATTTGTAATCTTTGTTCACACTTTGGGAAAAAAATTGATGAAAGAAATTGGACAATAATGGGAATCTTGTCTGAGCAGAACAAATTGGAACTATCAAATATATTGCAGATAACACATGCTGCAGCTGGGGAGGGGAAGCTTCAGGGCTGGTGACTTAAAGTCCTCCCTCCAAAGTGCACTGTTCAGTCTGGCACAGCCCTGTCCCGCACAGAGAGGTGGCAGCCAGGCGTGGACAGTGTTTTAGTGCCAGGGGACCTGAGTTGGAATCCCGCCTCTTACCCTGATGGTAGGTCATTTAATCCCCCTGATCCTCAGTTTCTGCATCTGTAAAACGGGATGGTAATGTCCACCTTGCAGCCTTCTTAGGATTGAAAGGAATGAATTATGTGAAAGTGCTTGGTATATAACAGGGGCTCCAAAAATGACCAAGAGGATTTCAAAGGAAGGCTATATGGCTGGGCTGAGGAATTCTTAGGAGGTTTCCTGCTTTTTCCTATTGAATAGAAGGAAGTGGGCAGGGGCCACTTCGTGTGTATGTGTGCTGGGGTGTGGGGGACGGGGAGGCGGGCTGGGTGTGTGTCTTCCACCTTCTTCCCAATAGCTCTGGGGCAGCAAATAACCACGGTCTTTTGCACAGGAGCCCATTCAGGACGCTGCTTTGTAGCTATGAAGCCTTGAGAGCCCATGCTTACCCCGCGAGCTTTGAGGGACAGCTAGGTGGCTCTTGAGGTCCTTTAGCTGAGCACATTGCACCAGTAGGGAAATGGGTGAGGAGTTTCCCAGCCAGCAAGTAGGTCAATAACACGTATGAGCGTGGAGTAGGGCTCCTGGTAAAACATTATCAGGGTGCTGTGGAGGCGTCAGAGTGAGAAGATGTAGTTCTTGGCCCGGGAGCTTATAACTCAACAGAGAAAACTAACAGAGAAAAATTTTTTTCACCTGAGATAGTGTCACAATTTAATATTTGCTGAGGTCTGCAGACCATGTGTCTAGTGATGGGGTCAGAACATGGAGTCCCTCCATCTTTGTGAGCATCACTCAGAACTCATTCTGAGCACCTACTGTGCTCCCACAAGTCCCTCCCTGTTAGTACACACTCAGGGTTTGAGGGATTTGGGTTAATGTCAAGCCTCTTGTCCTTATAGCCTTGGGGAAGCACCTGCTCTCTGGACCCCCCAGTGTCTTCATCCTTAAAGTGGCCGCATCACAGGGGCGGGTGGATAATTTACCGTTGCTTTCAGCACAGAGCAGTGCAAGAGGGAGGATGGCCCGACCAAGGGGATCTGTTTTCTGCCCTCAGGGCGGTGGTTCTCCACCTGGGGCCACTTTGCTCTCTCCGAGGCCTTTGGCTATAAGGGAGGTGGGGTGGTAGGGGCATGTATGTATTAAACATTCTACAGTGCATAGGATAGACCCCCCTTCCTCTAATTTTGGAATTAGGAGATGAAAATGCACCCATTTGAGGTCTCTCTCTCTCTCTCCCTCTGAAGAGACATAAAATGTCATGATCCTTAAGGCCATTTTCACTCGGTGGCCCTGTCCCCACTGCCCACAGCCGCCTCCTGCTGTCCTCTATGTCCTGGCTGCAGCCCTCTCCTGAGGAGTAGGAGGCGCTTTCCACCAGCGGCACCCCTGCCCTGCCGGTGTGGCACCCTCACCCTCACCCCCACCCTCACCTTCAGTCTCATACTCACCCTCACCCTCACCCTTGCCCCCAATCA